GTAGAGTACAGTAAGATTTTTTGAGATAGAGAGACCCCATTCACATAACTTTTATTACAGTATATTGTTATAATTATTCTAATTTATTATTAGTTATTGTTGTTAATTCAGTCATGTCCACCCAGGGATGATTACTCTTTATACCTTTAGCTTTTTGCTGTTATAAACAGTTTGAAATATTAAAAAGTTGATTGAAAATAATTAGAAATTCAAAAGAAAAAGCATTAAAGTAAAAATCTAAATTTTTCTGATAAGTTAACCAAATGTCTAATTGGTAGGTACTCTAGAATCAGACAAACATGGATTTGAATCTTTACCTTGATACTTAACAGCTGAGTGACTTAGGATAACTTCCTTAGCCCTGTGTATGACTTAGTATCCTTCTTTGTAAAATTGAAATGATGAATGCCCACCTTGCAGGGTTATTGAGAGGGATCACCAAGATACCAATTGTAATTTCCATTTGACAGTTAAATGTATAATGTTTTTCCTTCTCAAGTAAACAAATGTTTGCTGTAATTTGAAGAAGTTACCTTGTTTTAGAGAAGGATACAATTTTTGACCAAAGCTACAGTATGTATTACCAAGTTATACATTTTGAAATGCAATAAAGAAATACTCTCAGCTTCTAATTGATTTTGACATTCTACGATGGTCGTTAGCTAGATTTAAAAAAAAAAATCTCCGGGCGGGGGGGTGGGGTGGAATGGGAGAAATAGATAAAAAAAAATGTACTTGAAAAGTAACTAAATAAAATTTAATATTAAAAAAATAAAAAATAAAAAAAAATCTGCCTTGTCAACCTTCGGGGAATAATTGATTGAAGGGGATGGACAAATCTTAGTGTTTCATTATAACTTCCTATCAATCCTGGTTACAGAGGCAGATGAGGGAAAATGGAAGTTCCAACATTGGAAATAAAAAGCAGTGATGGTACATTCTAGTGGTCGATGAGAGCCAAATTGTTTGCATATAAACCAGAGACTGGTATTCATGGCAGTTTGGCTCTCAACTTCTGACATATCCATAGAGGTTTTATTTATTTATTTATTTATTTATTTATTTATTTATTTTTCCATGTATGATTTGATAAATCTCTTTAACGTCTGGCTTAATAATAGACAACTGTATTCTTTGTTTAATACTTGTGGTGATGTACACACAACATATAATTTACCATTTTAACCATTTTGAAGTATACAGTTCAGTGTCATTTAGTACATTTATAACCATTACCACTATTTTCAGAACATTTTTCAGTACCCCAATAGGAAAACCTGTACCCACTAAGCAATCATGTCCCAGTCCCCCTTTCCCCTAGCCATTGTCAACAACTCATGTGCTTTCTGTCTCTTCCATAGAGGTTTTGAAGTTTGGGGTAAATGCTTCATTTCTTTGACTTTCTTTATAGACACTGCCTCAGAAATACACTTGTTATCACTGTTGGAAGTATTAGACACAAACCATCTGCATTTTAGAAACGTATTTTAAAATCTACTGATTATTTAAGTCAAATTAAAGAGGACCATTGTGTGTGAGTTGAAGGGGACACACACACAAATCCTCTTTAATTTGACATAAGTAAATCAGTAGATATAAACTCAAACTCCTAAGCAGAGTGAGGTATTCAATCTATTAGATTTACTTTGTGGTCATGACTTTCAAAGAGTAAGCCTAGTTTAGGTTAAGAAGAATGCTCTATGGGGGATTTTCCCGTATGTGCTCCAGGTTTTATTTTTGTGATATCTAGGACTTATATACTAGAATTAAATATTTGTGAAACTGCATCTAAAGGAAGTTGGCATGCTGAATATATGTGGTCATAAGAAAGAGGCTGATGTGAGGAAGGGATAAAGAAGAGGAATGGAGTGTGAGAAGGGAAAAGCATGTGGTTAGATGTCCCTTAATCTATTGTTGACCATTGCAAAATCGAAGGTGTTCTAAAATGCATATAATTTTGCACCCAGTAAATGGAACAGGTACTCAGTATTGATAACATTTGTTCTTCTCTCTATTCATGTTATAGGAACATAACTTATAAAATTATCTAAAATATAAAGTCTGAATTTTCCTCTTATAAAATATTGATAATTCTTCGATGTGCTAGGAAATAATAAATATTCCACCATCAATACATTAGACCATGCAAGAAGTACCTTTTAGTTGTGATTTGAGTGGTATAGCCACAAGAACCCTCACCTTCCTTTCATGTCTCTGAAAAACCATCCCTAACAAGTTACTTTGTGTTTTCTTTATCAGAGATTTCTTTTTTAAATAAATTATTGCATTTTTCAGAAGTCCCCCATTTAAAAAATTAATAAACTTATTTTTTCTAGAGCAGTCTTATGTTCAGAGCAAAATAAAGTAGAAATTACAGAGAGAGCCCTGGCTGGTATAGCTCAGTGGATTGAGCGCAGGTCTGCGAACCAGAGGATTGCAGTTCAATTCCCAGTCAGGGCACATGCCTGGGTTGCAAGCCGGTTCCCTGCAGGCCAGTTCCCAGCAGGGGACGCACTAGAGACAACCATACATTGATGTTTCTCTCCCTCTCTCCTTCCCCTCTAAAGATAAATAAATAAATAAATATTAAAAAAAAAAAGAAATTACAGAGAGTTCCTGTGTAACCCATTCTCTACATAGGCACAACTGACCCACTATCAACATCCTGTATCACTGTGGTACATTTGTTAGAACTAATGAACCTACATTAACACATGATCATAACCCAAAGTCCACAGTTTACTCTTGGGTTCACTCGTGTTGTATATTCTATGGACAGATGTATGAAGAGGTGTATCTACCATTGGAATACAAAGAATAGTTGAGCTTCCTTAAAAATCTGTGCTCTGTCCCTTCATTCCTCTCTCTCCTGAAGCCCTGGCAAGCACTGATTTTTTTACTGTCTTTGTAGTTCTGCTTTTTTCAGAATGTTACATAGTTGGACTCATACAGTATGTAGTTCCTTCAGATTGGTTTCTTTCATGTAGGCCTTCAAGTTTTCTCCGGGTCTTTTTATGTCTTGAAGCTTATTTCTTTTTAGCTCTAATATTCCCCCCAAAAGACAGTTTTATATATATATATCTTCTTTCTCAATCTGTATGCTTTTTATTTTCTTTTAAAAAAACCCTCACCTGAGGATATGTTTATTGATTTGAGAGAGAGAAAAAACATCCATGTGAGAGAGAAATATAGATAGGTTGCCTCCTGCATATGCCCCAGACCAGGGACCAAACCTGCAACCTTTTGGTGTACAGGATGATGCTCCAACCAACTGAGCCTCCTGGCGAGGGCTTTTTTATTTCCTTTTATTGCATGAGAAGGGACATCCTTGCCTTATTCATGATCTCAATGGGAAGGCTTCAATATTCTCACAAGTAAGTATGATATTAGTTATATCATGTTAGTTGTTGGCCTTTTCAGTGATTCTCCAAGTCTGAGCCTTAGTTTTGTAGGTTCAGAAACATTATTTCAATGAATTATCTCCAGTCCTAAGGTGCTAGTGAATTAAGCCATTCCAAATAAGATACACCCAAAATGAAAAAGTAATCAGAAGCCCATGAGGAATATTTTTATTGGCCAAGTGTAATAGACTGTTATTCTGACTAGTCAAACACGTTAAAAAAGTCTACTTTAAGAAACCAAATAAAGATTAACTATTGCTTTTGATAACCTTTTACTTACCCAAATATTTGGTAAATATTTGGTAGATGATAAATTATGTGACAAATGTTCTCATGAAATTTAAATCGGAGTATGTATATGGAGAAAGCTTGGTTGACACTGAAATTGAATTGGGTTTTCCCTTAAGTATGAGGGATTATTGAGCATTTCTTCTTATGGCTATCATATTGATATTTTTAATAACAGAGTCATTTTCTTTTTGCTCACTGGTAGCCATGTTTTTTTTTTACCTTTAGAGTTCATTCATTTATTTCTAGAGCAAGAAGAAGGGAGGGAGAAAGAAAGGGAGAAAGACATTGATGTGTGGGAGAAACATGGATTGGTTGCTTTTCACATGCCCCCAAACTGGGGACCTGGCCCACAACCCAGATGTGTGCCCTGACCTGGAGTCAAACCTGCCACCTTCAGTTTGCAGGACAACATCCAACCTACTGAGCCATACCAGTCAGGGCTAGCCTTAGTTTTTAAAAACAAATATTCTAAGATATAATTTATGCCCTGGCTGGTGTAGGTAGGTGGATTGACCGTAGATCTGCGAACCAAAGGGTTGCCAGTTCAGTTCCCAGTCAGGGCACATGCCTGGGTTGTGGGCCATGTCCCCAGTTGGGGGTGTGTGAGAGGCAACTGCATATTGATGTTTCTCTCCCTTTCTTCCTCCCTTCTCCTTTCTCTAAAAATAAATAAATAAAATCTTTTAAAAATTCAAAAAAGATATAATTTATATACCATGAAATTCATTCATTTTAAGTGAGCAGTTATTTTTGGTAAATATATAGAGTTGTGCAAGTATTACCATAGTTTAATTTTAGAACAGTTCTGTTTCCCTCCAAAGGAAACTATAGTCACTCTCCCCATCCTTAGTTTACCATGCCTAATAATACAGGTTTAGCTTCCTACAACTAATTGTAAAATATGATAAAAGTGAATACTGTAGAATTTCCCAAAATTATTTGATCCTCTAGGCTGGTTCATTTGTTTGTTTCAGAGGTTTGATAATTTAGAGCATGGACATTTTTTAATATTTATTCAGACACCAAAATTATGTAATAGGAAAAAGTGATGAAAATAATTTGTGTTAGAGGTAAATTGTCTTTGAGAAATGAATTTTCAAGTTTGCTTCTTATTTGGAGGTTACAGATTAATGAGCAAAGAGAAGTCATTGCATAAATATAAAATTACAAATTTATTTGACTCTTGTTAGGGATTTAGTAGGGAAATTTACAAAGCCTTTTGAAAAGAATCTTTAAGATTTCATATAATAATGTTTGGCAAATTTATCATGAAATTAATTTATTATTCTTTTATTTTCTTTAATTTAGCTTCTCAGAATCAAGAACGTCTATGTGCATTTAAAGATCCTTATCAAGACCTTGGGATAGGTGAGAGTCGAATCTCTCATGAAAATGGAACCATATTGTGCTCAAAAGGTAGCACCTGCTATGGTCTCTGGGAAAAATCAAAAGGGGACATAAATCTTGTAAAACAAGGCAAGTAATACTTTTCCTATCTGAAATAACTTTGTGTTTCATACAATTGAAGTTTATCTGAAAAGCATGGAGGTAGATTAAAACCTTCTCCTGAAAAGCAGTATTTTAGAAGCATGTATCCATGTATTACCCACAAATTCCAAATTGTAAATGGACATTGACTTTTAGCTTATTGTAATAACACCTTTCTTGTTATGATGCTATTATATATCCTTATTGTATAATGTTTACAAAATACAGAGAACTAAGAAAAACAAACATCTACTATTCTGTACTCTTAAGAATTCCTTTTATTCTATTCTATTAGGTGTGTTTCGATGTTCCTCTATGTTTATATGTGTGTGTACTTTTTTTTCAGAGTTAGGATAATACTGCATAAATTATTTCACACCGTTTTTCCTATCATAAGTTATATCATGAATGTTTCCCAATTTAAAATAAACATTTTGAACCCCTGCACAATGTTTCATTGTTTACACATATCACATTTTACTTATGCATTACTGTTGTTGATCATTATGTTGTTTTCTGCTTTTCACTGTAATACAGACTACTTTAGCTAACATCTTTGAACATAAACTTTTGATTTTATCTGATTATTTCTTTGTAGTAGATACTTCAGAGTAGAATTATTAGATTATAAAACATGAATATTTTAAAGGCTGTTCATAAAAATTTTTATGTGGCTTTTTAGAAATGCTATTTATATTTACATTCCCTCAAGCAGTGTATGAGATCCTTGTTACAATTATATATCATTAAATTTTAAACCTAGATTAATTTAATGTAGACAAAAATGAAACCTTACTGTTGCTTTAATAATTATTGTATTAATGATGGTGTTTAACTGTTGTTGGCTTTACCCACATGAAATGCCTATTTATACTTTGCCATTTTCCTGTTATTTAAAAAAAATGTGTCTCCTATTGATTTGCAACAGTATTTTCTAACTGAAGTATTCTGTTACATTGGATGCAACTATTTCAATTATGTCTTAGTTTATTTTCATTTTGTTTACATTAATATCAATTTATAGGATGTTGGTCTCACATTGGAGATCCCCAGGAGTGTCACTATGAAGAATGCGTAGTAACTACCACTCCTCCCTCAATTCAGAATGGAACATATCGTTTCTGCTGCTGTAGCACAGACTTGTGTAATGTCAACTTTACTGAGAATTTTCCACCTCCAGATACAACACCACTAAGTAAGTAGTTAAGGTTAACTTACTTTTCCTTGTAATTACTTTCTCCCATGTTTTGCAAAATTTAAAAATATATAGAAACATTCAGGTTTGGCAGGAGTGAGGGAGACTTCCAACATCACAAGATTATATCTAACTAACACCTGAAATCTTAAAGCGGTGCACCAAGATTTCCAAGGTATTGGTATATTACCAAATGAATTAATATCTAGTACATTCCAGCTCCTATGGAGGGGAATTTGGGCAGTAATGAGAAAACTGCATATGTGCTTATTCTTTCATCCAGCACTCCCATTTGTAGGAATTTATCTTGAAGATAGACCCCCAACAGTACAAATATATATATATATATATATATATATATATATATATATATATATATACACACACACATAGAGTTATCCATTGAAGTGTTATTTGTAACTGCATAAGAATGGGAACTACCAAAATGTTCAAGAATAGGAGATTACTTGAAATACACTATGTATGTACCTGTAATGGAGTACTAACTATATAGCTAACCAGCTTTGAGAAAAATGACTAAAAAATAGTCTAAAATCTGGCCATTTCATCTCATCCTTGCCAGTTTCTGTTGATTCTGACAATTCTGTTGATAGGGATGGCTGGCGCTACATTTTAAGTAGTAACTTAATATGCATTGTCAGATTAAAACAATTTTTTAACCTTGGCTCTTTCTAAGGAGGCACTGTTAATATCTTTCAGTAAAAGTTTAATATTCATTTCATAATATGTAAATTATACCTTAATAAAGGTGTTAAAATGTTTATTACTTATTCTTGGAGACCAGTGTTCACTGAAACATTATCTCTATCTCACATTACATTTTTCCGATCGTTGTGTTGTTAAAGCCTTGCATTTGCATAGCATTTTATACTTTCAAAGTGCTGTCACATATATAAACTCTTTGAAGATATCTCCCTGATATTTAGGTAGTTTAGTCAAAATAAGTCCTTCTGTCATAATGAATAATCATACTACTCAGGAAGAATGGTTATTTAAGTGGTTGTCCTTCTCTAGGAGATTTGACTTACAGCTTATGTTTCTTTAACCTTTGCCTATCATTGTATTGATAAACAATAAATGTCAAGTTTTAATATTTTGGGCCCCCAACAAAATTTTTTTTTAAGTTTAAAGTTTGAAATTATTTTGCCCTGGCTGGTGTGGCTCAGTGGATTGAGTGCTGACCTGTGAACCAAAGGGTCGCTGGTTCCATACCCAGTCAGGGCACATGCCTGGGCTGCGGTCCAGGTCCCGGGTGGGTGGTGTGTGAGAGATAACCACACTTTGTTTCTCTTCCTCTCTTTCTCCCTCCCTTCCCCTCTGTCTAAAAATAAATAAGTAAAATCTTTAAAAAATTTTGAAATTATTTCAAACTTATAAAAACTCCCATATACTCTTTACCCAGATGCATCAATTGTAACATTATGCTATATTTGCCTATTCTCTCTCTCTCTCTCTACACATACACACACACACATTTTTTCTGCATTTTCTGCAAATAAGTTGCAGGCATCATATCTAAATGTTTATGTATTTTGTAATTGTCTCTGTTTCTTCCATTAAACTCTAAAGTCTTTGGTGATAGGGACTTTTTTTTAATGTCTCTTTTTCTCCACAGTGTCACTACAGTGTCAGACACATAGTAGAAGTGCATTGCTTATTGAATAAATAATTTAATAAAGGGATATGTGCATATGTGTAAATTCTGAAATGCAGTCATAGGCTGCCTAACAATGGAGATATGTTCTGAGAAATGCATCATTAAGGGATTTTGTTGTGTGAAAATCACGGGGTAGTGACGCAAACCTAGATGGTTAAGCCGACCTAGACTGTTTGGTGTAGCCTTTTGCCCCCGGGCTGCCAAAGTTGTACAGCACGTTACTGTACTGAATACTATAGACAGTTGTGACACAGTTGTAAGTATTTACATATTTAAACACAGAAAAGGTAGAGTAAAAATATGGTAGAAAAGCTTAAAAACATTGCGTAACTGTGTAGGGCCCTTACCAGGAATGCTTGCTCACTGGGTGACTCAGTGAGTGATGAATTAATGTGAAGGCCTAGGACTTACTGTACACTACTGTAGACTTCATAAACACTGTATACTTAGGCTACATTAAATTTATAAAACAAGAGGAGATTAAATCAAGCACAAGAGAAATTATGTAATCAAAAGATCTAGTAAATAGGAAGTATATGAGGCTACTGCTAGTGTAATATGGCATACTGTTTTAAAACAAGCTTTTTTTATAAGTAGAAAAAAACACTCTAAAATAACAAACAAAAAGTATAGTAAAAACATAAACAGTAATAGTTATTTATTACCATGATTGCATATTAGTACTGTACATAATCACATGTGCTACACTTTGATATGGCTGGCATCACAGTAGATTTGTATATACCAGCACTCCACAAACACACGAGTAAATAGGTGGTGCTATGATATTTTGACAGCTAAGATGTCACTAGGTGATAGGAATTTTTCAGCTCCATTATAATCTTATGGGACTACCATCATATATCATTAGGTCCGTTGTTGACCAAAGCATTGTTGTGCAGCACATGACTGTATTGTAAAATGATTGAAAAGAGTAAGTTTTTTTTTTTACATCTGGCAAAAAATGAATTTAATGGATTCATTTACTAAAGGACAAGGTGTTTATTGGAAGCTGGTTTCTACTGTCAGTTAAAAGCACAAATACAACAAAATATTTCATGAGATAGCAAGTGCAGACAAAACAAAAATATTGTTAGCTCCCTTATTTTATAATCATTATAGCAAAAGTATAAAAAAGCTAGCCCTGGCTGGGTAGCTCAGGTAGTCAGAGTGTCATCCTGATATGCCAAGGTTGCAGTTCCAGCTCTGGTCAGGGCACATACAAGAAGCAACCAGTGAAAACATGTAAGTGAACAAGAAAATGATGTTTCTCTCTGTCTCTCTAAAATACCAATTTTTTAAAAAGTACATGAAATTCATAATCATTCTTGTTCTTTCACCTCTGTCACCAAAATGAAGCATTTTGAGATTGCTTCATTAAAATCTAAAAATAGATTTTAATTTTTAACGTAATTCAGGAATATAGAAACCTTGTCCTAAGTAGAGGCTCTTAACACGATCTCATTTTCAAAGAACCTTACTCCAAAAGTACAATTGTATATTTTCATACTGTTAAAATGATAACTAGGTCATTGCTTATTTAAAGGCCACATAGTGAGGTTATGCTGTAGTGTAGCAATTTTCAACTGGAGTGCCACAAGAATTTTTAAAACATGCAATACCTGACTATGTAGTCAGTCATGGACCTCTTTTTTTTTAGATTGTTAAATTAAAAAATTAAAACAGCCAACACTACAATAGCTGTCTGTTGTGAATGACTCAAAATTATACTTGTTTTTTGGTCAGGTCAGCAAAAAATACATGTTTTCATGTGCTTTAGAATTTAGTATAATTAGTTTATGTATGCCATGAGATGAAAAGGGTTGGAAATTGCTGCTCTAGGGAAAAACAGAGGGTGCATAATGTTTTCTGTTATTCCTACTCATGTCTCTCTAGATTGTTTTCAGAAGAGCAGTTTACTTCCTGATCAAGCCATTCATTGGAATTACATCTTTTTCATCAAGCATGCATTTACACAGTATCACCACATCTATATGCCTTCTTACTGTTATAATGTAGATTGAGTAGGGTTAGACCTAGCAACAGTGAAGGAATGTATGCATTACTGAGATTAATAAGATATATAGCTCTCTTTCCTCAGAAAAATGATTTTTTTCACCTTCAGTTACAGGTGAAGACCATGAGGTACTTAAGTGATATAAACTAAAGCGTATGGTAGCAGTGGATCTTTAAGAATAATGTGGGGGGAAGTTGTCAGGGAAAATCCGACAGACTAATCACATGACCATAAGTGAATGTAGGTATTTTGCTGAGCCACAGAATCTCACAGTAATACTCATTCAAAGATTACGTTGATGTAGGGTTAGAGGGCTGGAGAAAGGTCATTCTACCTCTCTGAAGCTCTAAAATTATTTTTTTAAATTTCAGATATTATGTAGTCTTACAAAACTGCCTTGCATTGTTTTTTGTAGGCAATTAGGGCACAAATAAATGAAATCTCCATAGGCTATTCATTCTGGCTGTTTCCTAAAAAATTGAGCAGAATGGGAAGTGTACTGATGTTTTTTGTTGAGATATGAACACAATGCCTGTTTTAAAATAATTCAGTAGTTAATTACTAATGTTGGAAAAAGGAATATAAGACATTGTTATATGCCATAAAAATTAAGGTTCTGTTTGGACTATCGATCACCGATGTTAGCCAGTAAAGACACTAGCTCTCTGTTCTCGAAAAAGCTTTTTCCTTCAATTCCATCATCTTAAGTGTAGTATACATGTTGTTTTCCTCTATTTAGAACAATTATTACCCTTTAAGAAAAAGAAAAAGAATAGAAAAGAACTTCTGATGTTTAGAAATCTATGTCAGTTATTTTGCTGATCTGAGGTTTAGATTTAAGGTTGCCACCAGAAGCTTATAGCATGTGTAACCCGAAACCACATTATCAGATGAATTCTCTAAGACAAAACTGGGTAGAGATAAGGAAATTTATGGGCTGATAACTCGTATTCTGGGTCTTTATACCTAAATTATTAATTTTTGAAATATTTTCTACTGGCAAGTCTATAGTAATCTGTCTCTTTTTAAGGAACTTAGTACCACATTTGACTACTTTCATTACATATTTCATTTCATATTTCTTCCATATTTGACTACTATTCATTAAGGGAACGTTAAAAAATACTTTCCAGTAGTTCTGTGCCTATTTAGTGCATAAGTAGACCTGACTCTAGACATAATTTTGGAATTAATTAAGATCAGGTACTTTTCAATCCTTGAGATCTTACTTTCTGAGGCCCTTTTATTTTTCTTAGAAAAACTCTTCGTCTGTTGTATCCACTATGATATGTTAACTTCTCAGGC